GGAAGTACATTAAAGAAGATATGGAAAATTTCTGAGTAACAATTAAGAGTTAAATGTCATTAAATTAGGAAAATCTGACAGAGGATCAGAGTGAATATAATGTTATATTAATTGTCTGTTTGGCTCTTTGCTCTCAAGCCTGCAAATTGGGGATTTTGAATCCACTTCAATGCAGATAGCAGCCTTTCTTGGATGAAAGGTTATATGAAAATCGAACATACTGTTCACCTGCTCAGAGTCAAGTGGATCTTCATGGAAGCTGTGTTCCTTTATCCTTCCTTCTAGTGTGCCAGTAGATGAGTTCCTGCCTACATCTGTTTTCCTTGTGCGTTCTGGTCAGGTGTCCATCACACTTTGAACTTTGAATCCTATCTTTTGTTTATATCCTAACATTTTCATATCTTTATTAACCACCGCATTGCTTTTGCATGCTTGTCCCTTTATTTAGTTTTGTTTCATTGATTTGCCTTACTTATTATGTTTTTGAGATTTCTGATTTGACTTCATATTCCAATGCACTGCATGGACTCCATCCTCACCAAAAGTGCCTTCTATAGTCTATTTCCGACTATGGTAAATCATTTTTCAACCTTCTGTAATGGGGAAAGCTCCAAACCAGAATGAAAAGTGAATCACCCACAAAGTAGTGAATTGCAGTTCTCAGCTCTATCTCCCTTCAGTGCCCAAGGAGCCCTGCTGCCCCGGACAGGCAATGGCAGACCACTGCAGAGAGGAAGGCATGGAGAAGCTCGACCTTCCTGGTTTTGGCTATGGCAAATCCCTTTATATGTTCTTCTTAAATCCATATCTTTATATAATCTCTATATATTGTCTACATCATCTTAGATGCTGAAGAAATCATTAGGGGCATATGGAACCAGAAGTCTGATTAGGAAAGAAACTTTTGTTAACAGACCAGGTTACTGTTTTCTTATTGTTATTGTCAAAAACATAATTAGCGAGCAGTTGCTGTGGAAAGAACAGCAGAGACAGGAAGTCAAGAATTGAAAATAGCAGGAAATAGATATTATATATCACTTGGGGCATCATATTGTTATAAACTTTTAGGAGGAGGAATTGGAAACCTGTTAAAAGCTTGTAAGCAGTTGGCATTATCACTTGCAAATACTCTTTCTCTGTGCAGTAGATGTATGTAAGCAGGTGTCTGACTCTGAGGCCCTCGCAGTTCTTTTCAGCCTGCTTCTGATGTTTAGCCCCAGCTGCAGTGGGCAGATCTGTGCATGTGCACTGTCCTACCTCCAGCATACCACGCATACCTGACTGCACTTTGCCAAGGCTTTCTCTGACAGCTCAGCTGCAAAGGTCTGTGCTTGCAAATATGGCCTGCAAGTGAAATGGTGTGAATCTCCTCCACCAGCTCCAGAGCTAACAGGGCACTGAAGCCATTGGATACGTCCTCCAGCCTTCCACCAATTCCAAAAACTCTTCTGTATGCTTTTAAGAAAGTATAGCAGCACTGAGACATCCTTGCTCACCAAAAACAATGAGAAATCAAAGGGGAAAAAGATGACATAGAGATGTGTTTTTTACAGCCTTGATGGTGTATCTTTATGGAAAAATAAAGCCTTCGGAGTACAAATTGTGAGACACACATTCAGAGTCCCTTTACTTCCCTTGTGTCTCTCACATCACCTGGCAACTAAACCAAGTCCTCCTTTTAGGCTTTTTTGTAAAGGCAAACAATGTTTTAAAAACATATGTGTTAATGGCACTTGGAGGACATGAAATTGTGTTTACTGTTATGGCTTACATCTTAAAGCCTCGTGTGCTCATGGGAGGTGATTGGGTCAGGGGTGTGTGACACTGGATCATGAGTGTGTGACACTGGATTAGTCCACTGGTGGGTTTACAGCTGCCTTGTGTGCTCCCTGCTTCCCACTGCCATGGCATGGGCAAGCCTTCTCTGCCATGCTGCCCTGCACTGGCACTAGCTGACTATGGACAGAATTCTCTACACACTGTGAGCTAAAATAAACTTTCCCTCTTTAACTTGTGAGTGTTGGGTATTTTGTCCCAGCAATGAGAAACTAACTAAAACATTTGCTCAAAGATCTATTTTAAAATTGTAAAGATGTTTTCTTTTCTTTCACTAATGTTTCATTGGCAGGAATTGCTAGAATTTTCAATCTTTGTGTCCCAAGACTCTGTCAAATGATCAGTGATCTTTAAATGTACCAGAGAAACTCACTACATAAAGAGAATCTACTGCATGCATAGACATATGCAAATGCTCACATATTCTGGGTATGCTTGTTGCAGACACCTTCCATTTGTAGTACCTTCTGACAGTGTGCTTGATTTCTGCCCCATCCCTTTTCTAGTCCATCATGTGTAAATGAGGGGAGGGGGACCCTGAGTCCATCTTGAAGTCAAGCTCATTCCTGGATCTTGGAAAAAATGTCCCTCCAGCTGCTGACAGTAAATTTGTCTGCCTGCCATGGGACTGTTTTGCACTGACCTATATCTCTGCCAGGAAGATAAACACCAGGAATCACTGTGTCTATACCAGAGCTTTCAAAGTAGGGTTGCCTTTATCACTCTCTTTCCCCCAAGCCTTAAAAATAATCGTGAGTGGAAGGAAGATTCAGGCTATCAAATCATTTCAGACCATATTATTCCTGCTTGGATAAACACTTATCCCACAAATGCTGGGAAGGTTGTCAGTCACCATTGCAGAGAGTACTCCATTAAAATTTATGAGCCAACATAGCGTGAGGAAGTAATTATAAATAATAATTACTTCCATGATGTTCAATGCTGTTTTCATTTGAGGCTGCCTTGCTTCAGGTAGTATATAAGATGCAGCTGAAATATTTGACTCTAAAAGTACTTTCATAATCATGGCTAAAGGATGCTGAAATGAAAGAAGAAAATAAAAATCAGATGCCTTTCAGGGACATCTGTTGTCAGAGAAAGTGGTTTCTCCTGCAGGATGCTATGCACACTTCGGGTATTAGAATGAAGAAGGCAATTCTTTTGCCATAAACTAGGACTCAGGTGCCATATTATAATTATATTAACTTTCCAATCCCGTGATCATGGAGACTTCCAAAGGGTAATTTTAGTTAAGTCACAATGATGGCGTTTTAAAATCTTGTTTTAGGAACAAGGAGATAGATATAATCTTTGTCAGAGCTTTCCTTGGCTTTTGATTGTCTCATTATCCAAGCATCCTGTAGTCATGTTAGTGAATAAACCATTTCACTCTTTGGCAAGCTGACTGTCATAAATGGCAATCAGCTTTATGTGATAGCTGTGGTGTTACTGGATAAGTGTTTATCAGAGAGTTGATAGATAGATAGATAGAAAAATGACTTTGGTCTTTTTTTTTTTTTTTTTTCTTTTGCAGTACCAGGGATTGAACTCATGACCTTGCACTTGCCAGGCAGGTGCTTATGCCACTGAGCTATATCCTCAGCCCCATGAGTTGGTCTTTAAAAGAATGGCAGATGGGATATTTCTGGATCAGGCCACATCCAGTGGTCAATAGTATAGAGTAGGAGGGTCACTTGCACACTTTCCTGTCCATCAGAATTTCTCACCTCTTCAGTCTTATCTACAAATATGAAAACTCAGTGCTGTCAATTTCCAGGCAAATAAGCCCAGTAAGAGATGTCATTAAGATAAACAAAGACCCATCTGGAAGTAACAATAGAAGAGATTATGGGATTGTGCTCTAATTATTCTTCACTTTAATACTGGCATATATTATTGTCAGAACTTCAGAAAAATAGAAAATACCATTATCCTCATCATATAATACACTAGAATTTCAGAACAAATCTCATACATTTCCTCTTATGCAATCTGTTTTGAAAATGTGCACAGCCATCCAGATGTTAATTTTTATAACACTGTTTCAAATTTAGAATACATTTTCCTATTTGAAAATGTTACAAAAATGATTACTGTACTAGTACAGCTACAAGAGCATATATAAATCATATATATCAACATGCACTTACCCTTGAAAACCTTTGTGGCTGGTGTAAGGGAGAAAAAAAAGAGGTGGCTGCACAGGAGAATTTTCACTATCAGTAACAGAATCAGTGCTATTGGCCGAATGGAATCTTTTTGTGTGTGTGCAGCTTTAACAGGGACCCTATCCAATGACCCTTGCTCTTGCCTCCTTTTGAGGATTTCATGGAAATGTGACATTGCATTACTGTCAAACAGATTCATTGCTTGCATAGCTACAGCCTTACTTGGGTGGTGCTTTCCAACAAAATTTTGCAGCTCCCCACATTTTACACATCTCCCTAAACTCATTTGAAACAAGGGATTCCTCTGCCTTTTCTTCCTGCCTCCTCTGCAGATGAGATCTCCTCTGTAACTTCTTGCTTTTGGGAAACAACCACCCACAATCCTGCAGAGAGAGAGAGAGAGAGAGGCCATTGGCTCATTTGTGATCATGTGACATTCTGCATCATGTACCACCCATACTGCAAAACATCACTCATTTATCAAGTTAAAATTTATTAGAAATGTTTGCTTGTTTAGCAGAATATGATGACATATATATATATATGGAATTTCATAGAAACCAGAGTCCTCTCCCCTTGGCAGGGGTGTGAAGCATAGCAACCCTTGATCCTAACAAAGAGTGGGTAGCAAAAGCTGTGCACTTCCTAAGGAGGGCATATTCTTAACATCAGCATTAGATGAACTGGAAGGGCAGAGACCATGCCAGCAGTGGAATCAGGGCCTACAGTGAGTGGTACAGGAAGGCACTGCTTTTGGAGATGGTTGAAAAGGCACATCTGCTTCTTAAAAATGTTGGCCCAAAGCCCGTATGCATTTTCAACTTATATTGTTTTGACAAGAATTAGTCACATGGCCATACCAAACTATAAAGACTGGAGAGTGGTGTTTCTTTAGGCACTCTGAGTCAAAAAGCAGGTTTCTGGTCAGTGCAAACAGACTGTGCCCCTTTCCCTCCAACCTGTGTGCTGTGGTTTCTCTTTTCCTGTCCCTGCCAGGCCGCCTGGAAGCAACCATCATCTCCTTTTGCTGTGTTGGCAGTCACTCTCCACATTCATTCAGCTTGGCCAGGGAAATTGTTCACGGTAAGGCTGGAAATGGTACCCTAATTATACTATAAAGACCTACTCGGGTCTCACCTCTCTCAACCACCTTGACCCTGGATCTCTTTTGTGTTCCATGCATTAAGTTTTCCTGATTCTGTCAGTTCCCCTGCCCGTTCCTTTTAGTTTATGTTTATTCATAGCTTTTATTGTCCTACTAATATTAGGACTTCTTGTTTTTTCTTTGATCTTTTTTCTTCAGGCTTTCCATGGTTTTCCTTCATGATTCATTTGACCTTTTTGTATCTCCAAAATCTTAATCCCTGATTTTGCTTTCTGAGCCATCCTTGAGACCCACTAGACAACTCCATACCACAGCTACTCAAGCTTAAATTCTAAAGGGGCAGTAAGTCTCCATAAAAGCCTGCAGTTTTCCTCCCTGGCTCCAGTGTCCTGTGATGTTATGATTACTTACTGTTTTTTAACTACCAATACCAGGTTAGCATTTTATACACATTTTATCAATAATTCTCATAGCACCCTGTATGGGTCAAAAATCGGTATCCCCACGAGGGAGAACTGAAATTCATGGAAGTAATTCCCTTGAAATCACCCACGCTGTTCATGACAGGGGTAGCATGTGAATCCAAGTCATAGCAATCTTACTCTTAACCTCAGACTTTTGTCACACTCAATTGCTTATAAAACGATTAACTGAATGTTTTGCTGTTCTGTTATTTTACATGTATTATTTTAGAAGGCCAGTAATTTGTGGAAAAGAGAACAATATTTCTCTGGTAATGTTAACACACTGTGGTAGAGATGGAAATTAATGATAATCTTCTTAATTAATTTTGCAATTTACATTCAGTTTGTTCTGTGACTTGTTAATGCTATGTCCAGGATAAATTGGCTCTTAAATTCTATAAATTAAGCAGAAGAGCATTTCCTGAATACTGTAGATGCAGCAAGAAAAAAAAAGTCATCCTTTATTTGGGTCCTAAAAATAACCACAAGTGTTACCACAAGCAGAATAGCTGAACATACATTAAAAACAAAAGAAGGAAAAACTGGCCAACCGATTCTTGTGTCATTTATCCTAAAAAAATCACTAAAAATATTTACTCCATTTTGAAACAATATTAGGTGTTTTAAAAGGAAAATGATCTTTTAGCTATTATTAGGTCTCTTATTATCTGTTACAGTATTCAACTATATGCCCCATTCTGGGGAAATCTAAGGATACAACCTGAGGGATATCAGACTTTTATGATATATAATTGGTAATTAGCTGTACAGACTATTGGCAAGTGTACCATATTTTCCTTTCAGAAATTTAGGCCAACTGTATTTAGTTGAAAACATACATTAAAGTGTCAGTTTGGTTTCAAGGTTGAAGCATGAGTGACAGTAATGAGTTTCTACCTTTCAAGCTGTTATATGTAACCTTCTAAATTCCCTTTTGTAAACTGCCTGCTTCTGAGGTCATGCCTTTGTGTGGCTATGTCCAATTAATTACTGTGCCACTTCTGCAAAGGCTTCCTGCCTCACTTTCCAAAAAATAGTTCATTAGCTTTGCGAGGATTTTACCTCAATACTATATTTAGTTTGCTCTTCCTGGAATATTGCAAACAGAGAAGTGAGGTCCTGGGAAGAAACAGTAGGACTAGAAGGACAATGCAAAAATAAATATCTGACTTTAAAGTGGCTCTGGATTGTGAAAAAAAAAAAAAAAAAAAAAGCACAAGTCAACAGCTCTGCTTTTCTAGCAGGTTTTTTTCTTAACATGATTATTTCAGGCAAGTCTACCTCAGGTTTCTTCAACAAGAAAATATATTGTGCTGCTCAGGACTCAATATGTGTTGTTCTTATTAATATGGTTACAATTTATTAAAGCTTGACATTAAATCCTGGTAGGTGTATTGTGGTTGGTTACTAGACTTAATAATGTCATTCAATGGGCAAGTACAGTAAATACGAGAAAATCAGTCAACTGGGATCACAGTTATGGCGGATGAAGCAAAGCCAGGGAGCAAAGCAGTGAACCTGGGGACTGGTTGGGTCCAGTAGAATGCACAGTATGTATCCTGTGTGAACTTCTTAAGTTCTTTGGGCCTTCACTTTCCAGATAATTAGAACATAAAGCTACAATTTCTAAAGTCCCTATGGTTCTAACTTTCTATGATTCAGTAGTGCTCAAGCCAGACCATTCACCATGTTTAAAATCAACATTCAGCTCAAAGCATCCCATCCAGCAAGTAGTATAGTTCATATTAACAGAAATGACTGGTGGAAAGGAACATCAGGCTAGGTCAGTGCAGTGTGCTCAATGTAACTCTATGATCAGGCATTACTATTGCTAATCCCCACTGAGACACAGAAGTTAGGATATATGCTCAAGAACATACAACTGATAAACAGAAAGCCAGGACATAAAGCTAGGCAGCCAGGGCTCCTAATGACCACACATCTCACAAGGCAGCATTAGTCAGTTATGTTCCAGAAATTTTACCATGCAAATAACATGAACAATAACTCTCTTCCATATCTGAGTTTTAAAAACAAATGGGAAAAATAATTGATAAATGGAGCTTTAAAAAATCCCCTTTATTAATTGGAAGGCTTTATTGGAGATGGTGGCTTAGATGTGAACACCCCAGAGTCAGATAGATTTCTCCCCCAGTAACAGAAAGTACTGGATCCCCATGGCTACCCTGAAGCTGCAAGTCCTCCTGAAACCTGCAACTCAGAGAAACAGAGCAGAACCCCAACTCCCGCAGGATGGATTTTGCTTGCTTGTTTCTGCTTTCTCTGTCCTCTCACTAATTAGAGGAGCCTCTCTGGATGGGGATAAGTGGGGAGCAGAAAGATGTCAGGAGCTTTGCACTTGCTGATGGCCCCCGCTGGAAAGGAAAACTTGAGATGAAATGTTTCTAACCTGTTTCTCTGGTTCTTAATTTATAATTTGTTTTCTCATTCTCATGCTGTTTCTAGTGTTAACATTGTTCAGACTATTTCGACCAATTTTTAAAGAAATTGTAACAAGCCAGGCTAGTGGAGTCGTTAATGCAGGCTGCTGTGCCTTCCATCCTTTTCACACTGGTTAGCAGCCCCAGTAGGAGGGTTGGACAAGCTCAGCAGGGGCGCAGAGTGTGGAAACACTGTCCCCTAACTCATCTAAGGGCACCAGTAAAGTGCCGAACTGGCTATGTGTTGGTAATAAACAAAATGAGAAGTTCAGTAATCAAGTAATATTTATGAGACAGTGACTTATGATTAAAAGCAGCTGTCATTTGAGGAGCTAAATTTCCAAGAGTGTCCAAGGCAGTGGATACATGAGGAAAGAGAAGGGAGATAGTGCAGAGGAAGCCTCCAAGGCAGGCAGTAGACATGTGAGGCTCAAGTGAGACTGAGCAGGTTCTCCCCTGCAAAGTGAATTAGGCTGCAAAACGTCTGCAAGTCTTGAAGATTGATTGTTAACACCACAGCATACAAATTGAGAGATGGCTGCATGCAAATTTTCTCTTGTAGCTTTCCTAAATGAATTGGAAGAGCACATATTTCCATGACCAATCATATGTCTCACTTCTAATAGAAAAAAATGTTTCAGATTTACATAGATGCGTCAAATACAACTAGCTGAAAGTACATGAAAAATGCAACACCATTTGTTTTTTAAATAGAATAATTTTAGGGAGTTCTAGGGGGCTCTTTAAAAGCAACAGAGAAATAAGAATAAGAGCATAATTTTTATCCACCCATCTATCCAACTATCCTCTCACCATCCATGTAGCCTACAGATTTGCGTTGTGAGTACCCGCTACGGTAGGCATTGTGTTCAAAGAGGAAGAAGATATAGATCTGCCTTCTTAAATCAAGCAATAGTGAAACTGAGACAGAATCACTATTTGCAATTTTTGAAAGACTATAAGTAACTAGGTGTGGATGTCATGGAGCACTTCTGATTGAGCAGTGCAGTGATGCTTTCTGGAAGAACTGTAAAATCTCTGAGCACTCAAGTCAAGGATTAATTGAGCAGTGCAGTGGGGGCAGGGCATCCCAGGCAGAAGGAACGCAATGAAGTCAAGGTGAGCATGGGCTGCAGGTAGCAGATAGCCCAGACATGACTAGTCAGGGTAGGACAGAACATGAATGACCAAACCTACTCATGCTACTCCAGGGAAGAAAAAAGTGATCCTAGAAACACAAGTCTTTCATCTTCCCTTTTTTCCTGTTGTGATTTGGGCAGCACAATACCTAGTCTCTGAAGCCTCAGCAATATTCCACCAGTACTGATCACTTTCTAGTCACTGGGACACAAGACTTGTGACATACTACTTAAAGGAGGAGTGGTTTCTTTGGGCTCAAGTTTCAGTCCACGGCAGGACAGCTCTGAGGAAGGAGTGGCAGGGCAGAGGAGCCTGGCAGAGGAAAAGCTGCTCAAGTTACCACAGCTGGGAAGAAGACAGAAAAGCGAGGAGCCCAGAAGAGTGATATGTGCTTCCAAATTACAGCCCCAGTGAACCATCTCTTCCAATCAGATGTCACCTCCTAACAGGAAGTCAGCTATGTCACCCCTGTGATTCACCATCCCAAATCCCCACCCATGAGTACATGACGCAATTGAGAAACATTATTCCAGATCTAAAGCATAATTTAGATTCTCTGTTTTAAAAAAGCTATTGGGTTAGGCACTTAGCCAATTAAAAGAAGTTAGCCTTCAGGATGATAAAGTCCCTATACACCAGCTTTAGACAGTAAGATACTTAGACCATTTTCTGATGAAGATAATAATAGGTTCCTTATCCCAAAACTTTGAGTTATGTAATTTGGCTGACAATTTATGCCTGCAGGCACCCATACAACGATCTCTGAGAGCAGATGGTATTATGCTGAGTCCAGGATAAATAAGTACCATAGGAAATTTTTAATGTCATAGTGAAGTTAAAGATAATCCTAGCCCTAAGATTTAATCCTGCATGAGCCTCACAAGTACCTGAGTCAACTGCAGAGACTAAAGGTCACCATATTCCTTTGACACT